TCTCTCTCTCTCTCTCTCTCTCTCTCTCTCTCTCTCTCTCTCTCTCTCTCTCTCACACACACACACACACACACACACACACACACACACACACACACACACACAGCTCCACAATTCACCCCCTTGTGATATGGAGTGAATGAGCATGACGATCAGCATATGCACAAACTGTAGTACACCTCCCAGACTCCCGTGTAGCAAAAATGATTCATCAGCAAACGCAGCTATGGAGTTCCTTCAGTGAAAGCGGAGGATGCTGAGATTGCTCTTCGCGAGGAAAGAATATAGCAAATAGCCACATCACCCTGCACTGGGTTGCACTCAACCGCAGAGGATGGCTTCTGGGCCGTCGTAACAAGCACTGGCAGCTAAGGACTACCCCCTTATCACATCTGAGAACTCGTAAACTACTACTAACAAAAAGCATCACCAACGACACAATGATATGCAGACCGTGACACCACAGCTCGTGGCTAGGGGTCATAATATAACTCTGCGTAAAGCCAATAAGACTTGGCATTACGGCGGATTCAAGAGAGCAGAGACACAAGACAGCGCGGAGGACGGCCATTCCAACAGCCTCGACAAACCCCACTCAGTGGGTACCGTAATACCACCCTCTCATGGCCTCCACCCTGCCCATGTCACCATGCGGCCTTAGCCCACGGGTCAAAGCGGGCTGCTTTATTGGGCCTGAGATGCAGCAGGGTGCAGCACACACACACACACACACACACACACACACACACACACACACACACACACACACACACAGAGAGAGTGCCAAGCAAAATACATAGCAAGGCTCAGCCAGCTGAATGCCAGATCTGCCAGATTGGAGTGTAAAGCTAAGCTCTGAGGAATCAACGATACCTTGCTGCATTCCATTTCCGACAACGAGCCAGTATAACAAATGGAAGCAGGGAAAGTCGCATTCCATGTCCGAAAGATCTGGTTTGCAGCGCATTGTGTCATGAGAAAGATTTGATCGAACATCAAATACATTAATTTCACGTCATTGCATTCCCCAATCCCCCCTACCCAACGCTCGCTTCGCAATCAATCCTTTCGAGATCGATTGACGGTGAATATTCTTCCTCGATGCTTAGTTGCATGCCGCCGGAACTTCAAATCCACATTGGTTGACAGACCTCCAGAGGTACCGTCGCTCCCTCCGCTTCTCATGTTTCTCCCCATCCCTCTCCCCCC